GTATTACAGTGGAACCCCGTTTCAACGATGGACAGGGAACGCGAAGATAATAAAAAGCGGTTCGTACAAATGTGTATAATGCAGTTAAATGCAAGCAACATCAGATAAGTAAGGAAATGAATGCTTTCTAAACTGATTAACAGATTAATCGTTAGATTGCGGATTTTATACATTTATGATGCATGCAACTGTGTAAAACATAGTGAACCGAAAGTTTCGTACGGGATTAACAAACTTTTTGCCTCTCGTGAAGTAGTTTATGATAATAACAATTTAAACGTCCACATTCTATTAGTTACTTCTTCTTCATTTATTGTTAAACTACGGATTCTTTACATTTATGGTTCATAAAAGTTCGTTAAACGCAACAAAACGGAAACACTGATGTAGATTGAATACAATGTTTATCGTATATAAACCATTCAAAATCTTTGATAAAAAATCTAAATTTCTGTGTAATTACTGCTTCCATAAAAGAAATTTCCCTAATCATCCACAATCTATTCATAGTAACTTCATACTTAAGATCTATTTTTTCATAATAAAATTTCAAATTCGCTACGTTTTTAACACCCAAACAGCTCTATCCTTATATCGTATATTGAATTTTTAATAAACAATAATTGTGCGTACACAAAAAATTGTTCAATTTGCCCTCTTATTTAAGAGTTCAAAGGTACGTAACCCCGTAAGTCAGCGCAAAAATTCCCGTGGCATTTTTGTCGGTTCATCGTGATCACAGACCCTCAACGATTGTTAATAGTTAGGAATCAATCTTCTCTACTCTGGCTAGTGAGGGGGTGGGGAAGAGGGGGTGCAATCCTTGAAAGTAAATATTCGAGATCAACGACAACGATCGTCGAATCATATCGAGTGACGTTCTACCGTAGCCGGTACAAGTGAAAGTACGTCATTATAATACTACTCATCGCGGTTCGCCCCGAAAGGATTAACCATAAATTGCGCGTCGCATCAAATGCCAACTGGCGAAGCTAATGACTACCGTAATCATTTTGAAAGTCCGGTAAATCGTTATACACACATATATATATACACCTCCGTGTACACTGAGTTGCCTCACATTCCCCACCAGACCGACAACGGGATGCCTATTTTGTTCTTCCGACAACGAGCCGGCGGGTGTCCGATTGAATGTCACTGAGCCACGGACACTGTGGGAGGGCGCAGATATAATACACACGGTTTCGTGACGCTGACGTCTCTCTGTTTCACAGTGGGTATATATGTATACAGGGTGGTTCACCAGCAAGACCATTTTGATTACCTGTTCGTTAATTAATGGCTGTATGAAAAAATATTTTAAGTTGCATGGTATCAAGGGGAACATGTCGCCAGCTTGTTGGTCTAATCAGCTTGTATGTACCTACAAGGCTGTTGAGACCTGGAGGCTTTATATGTTCGAAAGATACAACTCGAACTTTTCTGTCTCCTATTTATCGCATTTGTGAAATAGCAAATACTTTTGGTGAAGATCTTGATTTTTTTATTGGCTCTATCCAGTCTCAAAAACCAAGTTCCTAGTGTCTTGTAATTAACAATTTACTTTTCTCTTTGTAATTACTATTTTTTTTTGTGTATTCTCCAGTTATATATTTCATTTAATTCTAATATTCGTCCGATTTATATTTTATATAAACATGTTTACATTTTAACCCGCAAATAAAGAAATAAATAAAAAAATACAAAGTTCAGGACGAAATATCGGGTATTTCATTTAAAAAACTGAAGATGACCATTATATCTTAATAAAAATGTAATACAGTAAAAAGAAACATATTGTTGCCATGCAACGTTTGTATAAAATATTTTTGCATACAGCCAATGATTTACGGGTCATTGAGATGGTCACGTTAGATGGCTTGTACTACCTCGGACGATGTAATGTACGGAGAATGACGGTAGAGGAGACGGTAATAGAGAGCCACGTTCGCCACGGTCAGGAATTTGATTAGGATAATCGATTTCGTGGTGTAATCATAGGGTACCGCGGGACAGATACAGCGAGCGCATTATCGCGGATTGCGCCGGGTGTTTTCTACCGTCGGTTACCCTTGTTAACTGTTCCTAGAATTCGACGGGTACCGTTTGGACACGAGCATAAAGGTTCTGAGAAATCGTGGATGCACATGGAATCGAATTATGTTTAATAATGCCTCCATTTATTCGCTGAACTTTCTCCTTTAACACTTTACCAGTGAACTGTCCCATAAGAAATGTCGGTTTTGGATTACATACAAAGTTTTACTGATTGTTACTCCACTTACCCTCTTAACACGTTGACGCCCGATTTTTGGCCTGTATTGCTTAATACTTTTAGTACCTTAGAACCGATATATCGGCTTTGTGGGTTTTCCGAAAAATACTTTGAGCTTTTGCCTTATTATTCCTTGAATTAAATTGGGCCTGAATTAAAATCGACTTAAGGAAATATATTTCCCTACCGCTGGAAGATAATATATGTAAGCTATAGGTGTTAAATTAATTTACAAATTTCCATAATAAATACTATAATTAACCCATTAAGGACCAATTTTGCGTTAATGCATTTAATGTGATTGGCAAAATTCTTTTCAAGTAACGGCTATGACGTGCATATACGCCAGCAGTGAAAAATTCGCGCCACTGTAGGCAGCAAATTCAATGATGAACTATAACGTTTAAGGGGTTAAAATGAAGATTTTTAATCGAAGTAAGATCTATTAGAATCGACACATTTTTGCCAACTTGTTACGAGTTTATTGATCCCAGTTTTAATAAAAACAACAACCTAATGTAATATGCTTTCTTTCTACATTATATGAGCCATTTTGTTAGAATAGTAAAAGAGTTGTTTTCTTGTTTCGAGATATTTAACCCCTTTGTGTTGGAATCATGTCTCTCGGATGTTTTATTGTAGAAGCTGATGTAGTCGCGCAGGTTTCAGGATCGTGAGTAAATGAAATATTAATATCTGTTACTAAAGGATTTCTTTTGTTCCTCTGTTTGCCATCATGTCAGCACCAAGAACGTTGACTTTGCTCGGATAGTTGTGCAAAGGTTCAGAGTTTTGCATTTTACGTTGTTGCGCAAGCATGTTTAACGCTGGAACTGCTACAGATTAATTTACAAAGATATTATAATGCTTTGACGTGAACAGTACGAGTAATAAAAACAAGTGATCAATCTGTAGATTGATCTAGGTTAAACTTGATTTTCTAAAAAGTGGACATTGAAAAGAAAACGACCTGTATTTTATTTAGTGTTGTCTGTACTCGTTATTTTTAATGTAGTATATTATTCTTACTTTTTGTCACTATCTTATATTATTTTATTAAAAATTACAATAAAATGTTCATGAAAATTAGGGTTTGTTTTCGAGAAAATACAGTTTTACAAGCCGACAGACACGCGTGCTTTGAAATACAAATCGATATGTCTTTTTACTGACAGACTCTTTCTACTTACGATAGGCATTGACTGCGGTGTAAATGCATACTGTTGCTTGCTTCCTATCAATCTTGGCACAGTCCATTTCACAACCATGATCAATCCTGTAAAAATTCAACAGGAAATTCTGAAGAATGATTTTATAATTAATATCGTTGAAAAAAAAATTAACAATTTAATTTTGTGATGCAAAAAATAAGTTTCAATTGAGTTCCCATCTTTGTGAAATGTTCAATGAAAATGTAAAATTGTAAAATATAAAATTATGACGTTTAAGAAATTATAAAATAATAATAATATTTATAATTAACGAAGAATACAAGTATACATATAGTATAGCATAAATATATTTATGTGTATTTATGTGTATATTTATGTGTATCACTGTGCGCAAATAGAAATTGATAAAAAAAAATGATTATATATTATTTATTAATATACATTTTATAATTTCTTATTAACAGTTACTATATGTGGATAAGTAAATTGCAAGTAGATATACATACTGGAAAAAAGTTTCCTTCGAAGCCGAAATAGCTCAGTTGGGAGAGCGTTAGACTGAAGATCTAAATGTCCCTGGTTCGATCCCGGGTTTCGGCATTTCTTTTTTTTCCCTTCAAACTATTAGAATCCAACGTTGCGTAAACACAACATTTCATTTGCAATGTTTTTTCAATGAATTTACATTATTAAATTTTATTATTCATGTTGCAGTTGTGGAAGAGGATTTCAATGATTTGCTTAATATTTTTTTCGTCACTATTTCTTCTTCCACTTAGAATTTATGACGTTTAGAAATTTGAAGAATTTTATGTATTTATGGCACTGTGATAAATCCATTTTTCTTAAATCATGGAAATTTGTTGGTATACCTTTCATGTATTATAGTGTGGTTTCTATAATATAGTTTCTACTATTATAATGCATTTCTCTATATTTCGGCAAAATAATATATAAGTTATTTTATTTACGTTCATCAATAAAAAATTGCCTAAAATTGCATAAACGCAACATTTTGTTACACAAAAAGTACCGATCCAAAAAATGTTTTGATAGTATTTACATATATTCTATCTTACTACACGTCTTCTTCGTCTACACTAGAACAGTTTACACATCTACGTCTATCCTAAAATACTCTCTTAAAATTTACTATACATGAAAAAGTAAATTATGGGCGTGATGTATCTGAAGGGCAAATGACTTATAGGTACCGAAGTAGCTCAGTTGGGAGAGCGTTAGCCTGAAAGCGTTAGCCTGAAGATTCTAACTGTCCCTGGTTCGAGTCCGGGTTTCGGCAGTTTTTTTTTTGTCGTTTGGAAAATATTTTTCATATATTTATAAATGGATCCCGAACGTATTTTCACATTTTCATTGTACGAAACGTAACGATAAATTAAAATTGTCAGCGGGATATTAAATCCGAACGTACCTATGTATTTTAACAATAAAAACAATGGTACTATTAAATTGATTTGAACGGTTACAATAATCATACAATCTCTTTCGACCTGCAAATTAATTTTTTATACTTTTTTGTTTATTATAGAAACATGCACAAGAACCTATCAGCAATGGCTTACTTTGAGATATTCATATTTTTGTGTAAGTATCTTAAACATCATGCGTCTATCCTTATTTTAAGGAAGTATAACATTCAATCGTGATTCGTACGTAACATTTCGAATCAGAAGTCGGTTATCCATTATCTTCGTCTTTTGGAGCACAACTAAATCCTTTAAGAATCATAAATAAAATTCACTCGCGAAATTTCTTCATATTTCTTCGCGAGTTCGGTAACCATTTCGTCGGCTACAGAATTTATTCATAGATAAACAAGTTGTTATACATTCTATGGAAATATATCAAGATAACAATATCCTAATATTCAATGCTCATATGTCATTCGATGTTTCAGGTTCCCTGGTTAGTTTCATGCCCAGTTACTGCAAAACAGAGGTGACTATACAGTATATGCCTACTCATTTACATTTCTACTATGAACATTTATACAAACGATTAGAGATTTAGCTGAAACATAATGAACTATAAATAAATGGGGCAACATGTACAAATTACACTTTTGGCAACATGTACAAAATACACACGTGTACCCTGGCTGGATGCTCACAAATAAAAAAGAATAAATTCACTAGTCTTGTTCATTTTGAAACAACGAGTTAATTCGTCACGTCCATTTCTAAATGACGTGTGAACTCGTCTTCGCCGGTTAACAGTTTAAAGGTTGCCGCACGTCACTGAATTAGTATTGCTTCATGAATTTACAGCCAGAAAATAGCAACAGAAGGGCGAGCTTGCCGAAGCTTCTGACGGAGCTGGATCTATTAAGCGTCGATACGTCAGCGGAGAACGGAGAGTCGTTGAAAAAAATCGTGAAAAGACTAGCGCCGGAGAAGAATGGCGAGTACCAAATTTACCAAGGTTTCCGTTGCTTCTCTTACTAACAACGTAACAAAAACTATCGGACCCTCTCCGTTCCGCCTCTAAAGTATTTTCTTTCGCCTTTTCTTTCCCAGTCTTCTTCGGCAACGCGGATCTTCTCAAGGAATGGCTCAAAGGAGCGGGTATTATTATTAATACTGTACCAAGCACTGCATCGGGCCAGACTTTCTCTTTCCAGCTTCCTATCTCCCCCCCTTTAGAATAAAGCGCATGCATCTAGTAGTTAGCTTCTTCTTTTGAAACTGATCGGACGTGACAACCGATCCATCCGATCGGTGAATGAAATTGATACCCATCCCGACCGGAAAAGAAAAGGAAACGAACAGAAAATCGTAGCTCAGTGCCTTGTCCCTGAGAAGTCTCAAAAGAAAATTATTACAATTCTTACTTGTCACAGTCAGACATTTCGATTTATATCTATCGGTGTGTTTGAATGTGAAAAGCACGATGAAGCTTTTGTATAGTTTAATACAATCATTATTGTTTCATTTTTTTTAGTAAACGGAGTATTTAATGAAGAAAGTATGGCTGTTTTTGTATTGTAAATATTTAAAGTCTGATTACTGTAATGCTTTGTATGAATTGTTGAACGTATTCATTTTTGTTACTATAACGGTTTTAGATGTTTTGAATTTTGCCTATGATTTGATTTCATTGAGACAGTAGTAAAAACACATGAAACGATCTAAGGAAAGCTACGATTCTCCTAAAAGAAGATTTCTAAAATTTAACAAATGCGATGCACCTTTAATTTTGTAACCACTAAAAACACTTGGTTAAGTCGTCATTGACCTTCGGTTCTCCCTTTTAGATGTAAATTTAAACAAAACTCTGTATACCAAACAGCTTCATAACCTGTAATCAGGTTTTTAATTTTATTCATTTTATATTCTACAGGTTCGAATCTAATTCTGGTATTCTAATTATTCCCGTAATCAATACGGAAGGAATTCCGCTATCTTTGATTTCAAGTACTCGCACGTAAATTGGGTTTGCACGTGAATTACACTTATCGACGCTTATTTGTTCAACATTGTTAAAAATGTTTAAAACGAATCACGCTTTAGAGGATTTATCTGCGAGAATTTATTCTTGTTTTATTTGATAGGCGTGACAGGACAGCCTGGCGTCGACTTTCCAGCTCTCACGACGATTCCCGCCACTTCGTTCAGCTGCCGCGGTCTGAAAGGTGGTTACTACGCGGATCTGGAGACAAATTGTCAAGTAAGTAACGAACAGCTTAATATATCTTTCTCAACGTAATTACCTTAATCAAATGCGAGAGATTCAACGTTGCGCAATCGCGATTTGTTCGCGCGCCCGCGTACAATCGAGACTTTTCCGCGTTAAACAGGCTATTCTCCTTTGAAGCCTTATTTCCTACCTAATTTCAATGAAACAGAGTAAAACATGATAAAGCTAACGAACGTAACATTATTGTTCTCGTAGTCATACATGATTATAAAAAGACTACAATCTATTACGCAATTATCTTGTATATTTACAAAATTATCAGATTCCAGTGTATTAAATGAAACAATTACCTCTGAATCCTTCATCGTCGGTTATTTATGTTTATGAAACTGAAGAACGTAAAGAAAATTTCGTTCGCGTAAATTTAGCCACTGTTCTCAGTAGAATGAAACTTACAAAATATTATTTGACAGAATTGAGATGAGAACGTTGTCTTTATCCTATTAAATTCTGATATAAAATATAGGAAACATATCCATGAACTACTAATGTAATTATGAAATCTATATTAATAATACCTAGACGGGGGATTTTTATGCAAAATTAGATTTTCTAAAGTAGGAAGACCAGATCAAATATGGAAATTCCATTTTTTTCTTAAGTATCTTATTGGGTTCGGAAGGAGGTAGAAAACTCGTTGGGTCTGATGAAAGTTTTGTATTTTGTTGTACTTCATATAGAGCTCTATAGGCTATAGATGCATAAAATCGTGAAAATGCAGTCACAAAGTGTTGAATTTTTGGAAAACCTCATTACAGAATTTAATTCCATTAACATAGAAATTAATAATAATAGTACAGAAAATTTAACATCTGCATGCGTAAACATTAACTACAACAAAGTAAAACTCAAAGGTCATTATTTATGATATTACTGTGTTCTAACGAGCTTAAGCCTGATAATAAATAAATACGTGAATAAAATTGCTTCCAGGTGTTCCATATATGCGACAACGGCCGCAAGATATCGTTTCTCTGCCCCAACGGCACCATCTTCCAGCAATCGCAGCTGATATGCGATTGGTGGTTCAAGGTGGACTGCAGCAAGTCCGCGGAGCTGTACGAGCAGAGTAGCGAACAGCTACTGGAGGAGGAACGAAAACGAGCAGAGTCGAGGAAATCGAAATTCGAGTACCAACAGTCGATCGAGGCCAATGGAGGACAGCACGACTACTTCGACGTTCAGAATCTCAGTTACGACGGGAAGCAAAACGGTCGAATAAAGACGTACGAGCAACCGCCGTTGGAGGAACCAGTCCAGGACCGAATAAAAGCCTCCAGGTTCTTCGACGACGGTAACAATTTCAGCCAAGAGACCATTCAAAAGGATGATAATCAGTTCTTCGGTAACAACGGCTTTCAAAACGGTCAGACCGCCAGTACCAAGTCCACTTTCAATCAGTTCACCAGAAATACCGACGAGGGGAACGTTAATAGGCATCCAACGACTGGTCAGGATTACTATAGCACCCCGAAAAAGGCGCAAAATTATCACGTGACCAGCAGAACCTCGAGCAATCAAGAGAAAGGTGCATTGAAACGATCGAAGTTCAAGAATCACACCAGGAATAATTCCGCTTCCACGGTTTCGCAGAGAGTCACTCCGTCGTACACCGAGTCCACCACATTCAGGGCTAGCAATACGAGTCCCATAAAAGAGTCCCAACAGCTCGCGGAGAGCGCTGCGTTCGTTGGTAGCCGAGGACATCGTTTCAGCGAGAACAATGGAAATTCACATCAGTATTACTATCAATTGTACATCAACCGTGATACCAGCACGAGGAGCGCCGATTACGAATCAACGACAGCCACGACCGAGAGGGACGATCTATCCACCCAGAGGACAGATTTTTCGTTCACGGATTCTACGTCGACCCCTTACTACGAGACGACCACACCGTATTTCACCACCACTGTGTTGCCCCCGTGTAACGACGAGGCAACCACGGAAAGTATTGCTATGAGTCCCGATGTTCCACCGACCACAGAATCTCTGGTATTCGCTGACAGTACCTACGATTTCGGAGCAAATTACAAGAACACGGAATCGCGAAATGCTTACCCTGATTCGAATTATTACCATAATGTTAATAATAAGGACACGATGGGAGTGTCGGGTGCGACGAACGGGGTGACAGATGTCACTCCAACGATTCGGTCCTATACGGCCACGGATAGCTACCGTCAGAACACTGTAACACCGAACTCTGACCGTCAGAAATTCACCGCGAACAATTTTTCACCTTCTCAAGCTTCTTCGATTCGCGGTAGCGATTTCGGACGGAACACGAACGGGCCGATAACACGCAACACGTACGACAATCAATACAACAGACCATTCGGCAAGAACCCATCCACAGCGTCGCCAGGGTATCGACTAAACTTCATCAGCTCGACCACCGACAAACCGTTCAGAACGACTCCAGGTTATCAACAGAATACCGTGACTGAGAAAGATCTGAGCCCGTACGATAGAAGCTTCACGTACAAACAAGGAAAAGTGATGTCCACGTTGGGTCCGTACGTACCGTTCACGAGGAACTATGCTACCACTGGCACATCCACGCCGAAACCAATCCCCTACACACCCACAGTGCCCACCTACGCGTCAGCGAAGACCTTGATACCGAAACTGAAGTATCCCTCCCCTACCACATTGAGCAAACTGAAACCAAGCCGTTTCTCAGAAAGGGAACACGCGCTGAGTATGCTACACTCTCTGAAGAGCCTCGAGAACAATGTTCCGAGTCTGACCGAATCGTTAAAACCAGACGACAAAGCCGTGAATATGTCTGGGCCCCCAGCGCCATCTACTCTTCACTCACTGGCCCTCTACTTCTCCACAGCCACCGAGAATTTCGACTCGAACGAGACTACTGAGACCTCGATCAGCGCCGAGTCCGAGGAAGACCTGGGGAAGATCGTTTCGAAGAAGAGCAACGGAACCGTTCAGGTACCCGACAGTCTCCTAACGCAACACACTATCGATTCCTATGCTGAACTGTTCAAACTGAACGATTCGGTTGAGAACAATAACGTGACCACCGAGGATCGTTTGGACAACGTTAGCTACAACGAGGATTACAATGAAGATCTCGAGCTGCAGCAGAGTGGAGGATCCCTGGACAATCTGAGAAGGTCGAACAGCAGCCAACTTCGTGAACTCGCCCAGGTCTTCACGCACGCGTTATCGGCGTATCTTCTAGACCCAGACACTTTCAGGAGAGTACTCACCGAGATCAGACCCACTGAACCACCTAGAACAACGTTAGATGCTGATCAATGGAGGACTACTACTGAGTATTCGAGCGTCGAGCAAGATTACACATCATCGATCCGAGAGAAAGACGAAGTACTCGATTTCTCGGACGAGGGTAACGACGTCAGGCAAAAATTAACTACTACCTATCCGACTACATTCGAACCACCTACCACGAGCCAGGAGACTGTTTACGACACCCTTAGCACCCTGCCGAGTACCTACTACACAACACCTGGATCGTTCAGTCAGGAGACTTACGAGCCCAGCACCAATTTCGTGGCGAATCCAGTGACCAACACCTATTACGGGACTTCTGTACCGTCAACGGAGACTAGTTTCCCCGTTGAACAGGGTAGTACACCGTACATGAGCGACACCAGTGTTTATTATAATCAGAATAACGAAATAAACAGGGACAATGGTGGGCCACAGGTGACGGATAACTATGCACCGACAAATGTACCTGGTAACCAGAATCGAGTCGGTGGTTTCCAGAATAACAGCGTTACAATCGACACTGAATCTTATAGGGAGGAGAAATCGGTCGTCACAACGCCGATAAGCGATAATTTCGTGGTTTCACCGACGCCCTCAACGCCATCTGTCTTGACGCACATGGTCACCCATTATGGGAATAGAAGACCCACTAGCAAGAAGCCGGAACAACAACTAACCCCTCCGTTTTACGAAACTTATGCAGATACGATCCGTGAAGAGTACGAAAAAGTTGCTCTGAACCCGGAAAGCTACCCCAGCACGCCGATATCCGTTCAGAACGTTCGAGCGACGACATCCAGTTTCCCAACTAGCTACGAAACATCCACGGAAAATTCCCAAAGGAGCCACTTTCAAAAATCGTTGACGGAATCGAAGTCTGGTGGTCCTTTTCCAACGTCGCGAACCAGCTACATGAAGTTCAGGAATATTTACAACAACATCGAGACGACGGAGAGACCAACGACACCTAGATCGACGACAGAGCTGACAACCCCTACGACTATCCAAGCGACTACACCCTGTACTCACACCGAGTCCACTGTCACATTCGATTCCGTGGATCAAAAAGAGGAGACCAAACCATTGAGCAACGACCACTGGACCTCATCCCCAGCCGTGACGCATCTCTGGGAGACCTCCGTCTTCGTGGACCCTCAGCGTATCAACCACGGCCTGGAGTCGGACACAACGGTGTCCACGGACAGCGTCACAGGAAGCCACGAGAGTTTAGAGTACGAAAACACACCACCCATAAAGGACGATTCATCGGACAGTACAGAAGAGACGTTCAGCAACGAGTCAGAGCTAGCATCCCCGCCCCAAAGACTATCAAGGAACAAGGACACTCCTACAACATTCTCCCTGCTCCCAACATCGTTCACGGTCGAGAACACCGTGACACCAAAACCTCTGATCACTACCAAATCCAGTATCACCACCACGATAACCTCCTCCATCACGTCCACCAATTCTCTGCCTCAAGAGACCCTGGTGTCCTCGTTGCTGCCGTACACAACGACTAGCACTAATGGTGTGAACAACACTGAGAACGAGATCGCGGAGAACCTGTTCGGTAAGCTAAATGCCTCGAGCACGAGTACTCTGATGAGGGTGATGAAACAGGCGGACAAGAACGAGACCGTACGGCAATTGGTTCTGTTGCTGGTACGTCACTGTAATGATCCTGTGAATAAAACGATGCAGAGGGAGAAGGAGGAGCTGTTGAACGCTCTGCTCAGGTTGCCTGTGAACGAGTTCGCCTCTGAGGAGTCCAGGAACGTTGTTGCTGGGATCAATCAGTTGAGCGTGTCTTCTAAAGCTACCACGAGACCTGCGAGTCGTTCCACCAGCCCAATGGTCACTGAACCACCTGTCACTACGTACAGGAGCAGAAAAAGTAGACGATTTCGAACGACCACCGAGAACTCGGCGAACCTTGTCAGACGATCGGAGAAGGCGGTAACGTCTGAAGCTGTCAATTCGCTGCAGGATGATCAGAGTACCGCGTCTGACAACAGGGCGCTGGAACTACTCAGATCGTTGTACACGATAGCCACGAAATGGGGGTGAGATTGCAGGGGTTTGAGGTCGTGGGTCCGGGGAATGTTTCGTATCGATGGGCTTTGGAAGTGAATATCCCTTCCTGAGATATGTCTTTCTAATAGGGGACCGTTTTTTTAACGTGATCTTTCGGGCTGATCGGGACTTTATTCGAACGCAATTGGTTTTTCGAATGATCGATTATTTTGATAACACTGTCCAATATGATTTAACTATTTTTTCGATTTTGTAGATTTTTTGTAGATCTTTATAAAGGAGTACGAATCTGCAAACCGTTTTTCTTTTCTAGCATAAGTTCGTGCATTGTGAGTGTCTTTTTCACTTTGATCGTTATTTAAACATATTTATTTAGATGTTTAGAATATAATAACAGTTTGCATCGGTTTGTTCTGGAGAGTCCACATAATGATTTCGTGTCCAGAACAATCGAATAACAGTTTCAAAAATTAATTTTTTCAAAAACTAGGTTCTGGAAAAAATAGTTTGCAGATTCGTATTCAGGTCATAAATATGTATAACAAACGCTTGAAAATTAGAAAATTTTTTACATATTGAACAGTGTAATTGATGATTGACAATTTGATAAGAATGGTAATGAATTTATTGTTTTATGATTGACGTCGAATTGATTGAAAGTAATTTATTTGACAATCGTGGGTTAATTTATAAAAATTATTTTTTAATAATAATATTTTGTTTTACGATTCAGTTGATTTTTAGTGTAAGTTTTTTCCAAGCTTATTGACGATTGCTTAAGATTTGAAACTATATACAGATAATTCATTTTACTGTAATATGAAAGATAATTACCAATTTATTGGAGATAATTCATTGTTCGAAATATCATTTCTTATTTTGTGTTTCGAATAACTTGTTCCCAAATCTGGTTTCCTATAATGCGTTTACGACTTTCGTGGATCAATTTTCTTTTCGTGTTTTAAATAATACCTGACATGATGCATATGTTACTGTAAATGTGATCCCCCTTGCAATTACGCATATTTATCGGTAATTATGAATAATTTCCCGTGTGCTAATGAAAGGGTAATAAATCTTGGGTTTCTGAATTTTTTGCATTAATTAAAGAAGAGTTAAATTTACAAAAGTTCACATTGATAAGTATATATAAAAAATATCGTGTAATTTCGAATTAACCAGATTTACTGTAACATACACATTTTTTCAAGGATTTTCGCTCCGTTTTTTTTTAAGTTCGTATAAATCTTAAATGATCTACAAGCAAAATTTAAGGACACGATGTTGGAAGGTTCAAATGGGTGTTGGGAATGCTTTACTCGTACGGTGAGAAGCATAAATATAAAAACAGCAAAGTGACCAACGGACATTCATTTACCATAAAATGATTGTATAAAGCGCATTGTGGATTACTAAAATTAATTATACATATATTAGTAAAACTCCATTTAATATTACCTGTTTGACATGTTTGAAAATTCGAAGGCTTTAAATAACACCAAGACGTTTATCGTAATTTTGGTACATACGAAGAGATTTTGAATTCTATAAATACTTTTTTTGAATCACTTTCTTTTGATTTTTATATGTTTCCATAAGCCGCAATGTATCGTACAATTTTTATATAGTAAAACCTCGAATACTTAGGTTACTCACTGCAGCTGTTTCAACGAAAACAGTTATCTTTGCAATTTACACGCACAGACTTCTGGAATTTAGGTTCATTGAGTTGTGGCGGTAGCAGACTGTGGAACGACTCCCGATTAATTTCATTTCGTCCAGTCAAAATGGCGGAACGCATTCGCCTTCAGGATTTCTAATTCACGAGAAAACAATTTATAACTTCGAAACGAGGTCCAAAATTCATATATGGATCGAATCAATACTTTTTTCCAAAATAAAGCCATGTACTTAACTAATATAATAAGACTACCAACGTGATTAATTGTAAATTTACTAGCTTCTCGAAGGGAGTGCGTCAATAATGAAATTCCTTGGAATTCGTCCGTTAGATTTTACGTCGTCTGATGCCCGCAACCGCACCTGATCGTAACAGTATTATTACCTTGCATTACGTACAAATATCCTGTATTATAATCGTTGTACATCCTCCGTTGAATAAATAATGATTTTCGATGTGTAGAATTAATTAAACCGGCTCCGCGTCGAAAGGTGAAACGTGACGCGTCCGTGTGTGAACGGTCTGGTGGGCTGCGACTGTTCCCACGTAATTTTGGGCGAAGAAAAAAAAAAGAAAAAACACGAGAAACCTGTCAGAAAGCAACTTAGATTACTTGAGATTGCTATAAGTCTTGGTGTTGGTTGTTCCTTTATGTTTGGGTATCTTTAAAAGTACAATTTAAGAGGTATAAAGCCCTTGCAATGCTATACAGAGCATGTCATGTATACATATACAGTGGCAGAAAAAAGTATTCATACAACCGATGACTTGGCCCATCGATTGACAATACTGGATTTTAATAGGACTTGGATAGACTGCGAATTTTATGCATTTATATACAGCCTATATAAATTTCTATTTTATTTTTAACTCAACATTATGCTTCAGGGAAGAAAAAAACTCCTACAATGGTTCTTATCTTCATAAATTACTTTATAAAATGTCATTTTGCATAAAAATCTGCAGTCTAGTAATAAGCGTCACTGGTGTACGAACACTTTTCTCTTCGACTGTACTTTCGAAAATTTCTTATCCTAAGGACACGCTCGAGTTGTCGGACATGCATATATAGATACAAAGACGATTGGCTTTACGATGTTTTATTTATTCTACTTAATTTTCTTTTTATCGTAGGAACGCATTTCATTGTGCTTCGCTTGATAATGTATTTCGTATCGATGCTTACTATTAGACCGCCGTCCATTACATAAGTACGGTGGGCATCATCGACTTTATGTAACATACATTTGTACAGAATGTGAATAAATAAAAGGGGGTTTTGTTAATGTTTACATACCGTTCGTAACTTGATTTCCGTTGAGCGCGCGGTCGAACTTAACAAAATTCAAGGTTATGAAAAAAAAAAAATGAATCGCGTTTACTTCGTGGGCGTCTGTCATGGTAAAACGTGATTAATTAATTGCAGATATTATAATAATAGTATCAGAAATAAATCCACAAATTCTTAATGTTGAACGATATTACAAAAAAATGGGGAAATTCAGATGTAAGACGAATGATCGTTTAAATTTCCCGCCTAACCAAATATCCGAGGTTTGAGATAGGTACTACAGACTCCTCCCGATTATCGTCTGGTTTGTTCTACACGATTATTGTCCAGACGTTATCCCCATTATTGTGGGGGGGGGGGGGGTCGTGGAACCAGTCAAGCGTATACTTTGTTGCCAAGACTCAGGCATCGGGCAAAAAACGAATTTACGAGGGTCTGAAGCATTTCTCCCTATAAGATTATTATCCCGGCGCAGGCTCGACTTCTGGACGATAATCGTGAGGAGCCTGTACTCTGACTACACGAGATGGAAATACGATTATTACGTAAAATTTCCAATGAATTCGTTAAATTCGCTCAAATCTTAATCATTCACAGCCCCATACCAGCAATTACACACAATTACCAACAATTTCGCGCGCAATTTCAAATTCAATCACACTCACGTGAACGTGAAACTATCACTCTTACGGATCGGATTATGTTATCGTCAGATTAAAGGACCATTTGAATACGTCCGATTCTCTCGGTTTTGGTTCGTTGTTCACGCTCGGCCACACGTGCTCCTCGATCCAATCCAGATATCGATGCACCGCCATGTAAATCGACGGAATCGTACTGCCGCAACTCGACCCGAAGGCTGTGATCCCGATGACACTGTCACCGCTTTCGGCCAACATCACTAACGGACCGCCGCTGTCACCGAGACAGCTGTCCGATAATCTGTTACTGTCCGAATCGATCACGCAGATCATGTTATCGTCGATGCCATTGGTCAATCTGGATATAGAGAATCCGCTATAGGACTTGTTGCATTCCTTTATGCCCACGATACTGCAAACAAAGAAAAAAAATTTATTTAGAAAAACTGATCCTTCTCGATTAAAACCAAAGAAGAATCAATCGAATACGACGAATAGTTTCTGAGATATAAATTCATAAGTATAATTCATTCCCACGAAAATGGGCAAAAATGATAAATTAAAATGATGACTTAAGCACCCTCTAATTCCACGTGAACTATATAATATTCTATTTTGAACAAAAACCTAGACATCGAGGGAGAAAAGTCATCGATTTGCCGTGAAATGACCCTTGAACGTCTTGCCCCCTTTGATTCTCTAATGGCAATTAATTTACGAGTAGATCGTAGATTGTATTGATTTCTGGTATGATTGGCCACTGTTTTTCGTTAATATCTCGTTAACAAAGCCTCAGAATACTTTTTCGCCAAGGAAAAACTTACTTCAAATCACGCCAGGAATCATTCCTTTCAAGGACTTACAAATATTTTGGGGCACCCTGTATAGCTAAATGTTCACCGTACCTGAGGCTGGGCGTCCTCATCAGCCTATTAGAGCCCTCGCTGTCCAAACTCGTTGCACCCCATCCAAGGACCACCAAAGATGTGTTCGATGTCATGTTTATGGTGTTTAAGGATCTGGTTTGAAGGCAGATAGGCTTAACTGTATTCGACAGCTCTACTTTTTTTTTCAACTTCAGAATAGCCACGTCATTGTACACCGTGCGGATCCTATATTTCGGATGGATTATTATATCGCTGATTGGAATACGTTGCACGCTACCCCCGGTGCTGCTTAAGTCTTCATCACCTACTCTTACCTGTGACAAAGCAATAACCGACATTGCTCGTGAGGGTACAACCAATCAATTCTTGTTATTTACACTCACTTCAATCGGCACCAGATTTTTCGCATTTCTCACACAATGCGCCGCGGTCAACACGTGCTCTGTGCTTATCAAGCTACCTCCGCAGCTGTATACAATTGAAGGACCATCCTCCTCGGTGTTGTTGAATCCAAGAGCGACCACATATGGAAACTCCTTCGATTGCGCCTCGACTCCATTGTATATGTGGAACGACACCTCCTCGTCTGATCGTTGTTGCTCGCAAGCTGGAAGTAGTGTAACAATAAACAATTTCAATTAATCTTATTACAAACACACGCCCATACATCGCTGCAAATCAAGAGTCTAGAGTCACTAAATTAAGATTTAGAGTTTTAATGATAAAACTTGAACGAAGGTACAGTGAAATTTTGTAATTTATTGTTAAAGACTCGAAAACTTTTAATACTATCAGGAAATGTTTATCCATTCCATGTCTTTGCAAATCAGCCTAAAACGTCTAAGTTCGCATAAAGATCCATGATCCAGTACCCAACATTTACAACTGTACGCCTAAAAATCGACCGAATGATGAATTTAAAGCTTGCACGAAATACGTAAACAAACCGTTGACATGTTCGTGAAACTTCCGACGAGACAGGACTAAAAATAATCCGAATTTATTAATAGGCGTACGCGTATCTCGTTTTTACGTACATAACCTGAAATCCCGCCGACGAAGGTCAGACATTTAAATTTTAAATGGAGCATGCAAAACGAGCCTCATTGAGGACGATTTATGCGCTTTTACAACTATAGCATATCTATCATCTAAATATTCCATTCGGCTCGGTCTATTACGTTTCTGATTAAGTTGGAGTTAAGGCTGCCATCCGTAAAATCATTAATCCGGGGCAGAGATCATTAAAATCCCGGTCAATTTCCAAACAACCCGAACACTTGCAAATATTTCTTCTATTAGGTATCATATCCCAACTTTCAATTACAGACTGTAACCGCAATCAAGTAATAAAGATAAAATATAGTTGTACAAAGCAGGAATTTATTTGTGACATAAAATAATTTTTTTAAATACGCATACTTAAATTATCGAGAAACCTGGATCACTACAAAAAATCCCTCCGGATGCCCTAAAACAGAGGACAAATCCGGGGAAATCAGGACGGATGGTAGCCCTAGTTGAAGCGTAACGAACACGTCGATTCTACGTAACTCGTTGATCTGCATAAAACCGTTTCCACCTGTCGCCTTTTTTCACGCCTTGGTGACGTAACAGAAATTCCCCTAAAACACGATGACGAACCTCTTCCTCGAACAGTCAACCACGAGTTCAATGCTCATTACCTGTTCGTTACTTCTGTGTTGAGAAACTGTGAAACGAGGACTATATCAGAGGTTCGAAATCTACCTGTATCAATTATCCGTACAGAGGTTCGGCCGAGGTGTGAAAATGGTTTCTGAGGTCAAAAAAAAAACGAAATTCACGAGTTCAATATGCAAATGTATTTTATCCACCGACTGTATACACCGGTTTAGGAAATTCTAACAGAGCCGAAAACGATTCTGAGATTGAAAATAGCTTCCGTTTATATGTAGACCTGCTGAGTTTGCCACATCAATATACTCTGAGTTGCGAGTACGTATGCTAATATTTTTTTTTAGCACCTTAAGGTTTGCTCGGTAGACCTATAAATTGATTGTAATGAAATTCTAAAAAATTAACGACTCCCATTATCGATAGTATTCAATTTGATTAATAAAATGAACTTCACTTCTTCATTAACAATTCCACCAAGGATCTTTGTACAGTTTCAAATTTTACAAGAATATAAATTTAAGTTTTCCAGCCATTTTTTTCATTAGTTTAAAAATAAAATTAATTTACGGTATGTTTCATTGTTAATTTAACTTTTCCATTCTTATAAGTTAATTTTTAAATATATAAATTTCCTTGAACACTTACCATGAGCATTATAAAAAGAAGTGAAATATTTGATCGTTTTTAATCAATGTTCGTTGCACAGAAACGTACCAGACTCGGCCGGTCTCTTCGATAGCTTCTCACTGACGTTCAGAGGGCAACAAACGATCTCCACGAAATTATCGAATCCGCATCTGCCCGTCGAACCCCAGTCTCTCGTGTGATTCTTCACCTCCTTTAGCCTCGGCGGACATTCTGGTAGCTTCTTACAGACCCCTTCGTTGCCGTTTTCCATGAGGCATGGGCTACCTTCTACGGAACACAAAGAAAAACGATCAAAAACGTTCCTGCAACGACCGTTGCAAGAACCAGTTTTACCGCGAACTGTCAACCGATCGTATAAAAAATCCCGCATAAATTTCCATTCCAATAATCATTTGCAAAATAATATTATGATACACAGTTTTGATGGAAGTCCCATATCAGGCACATCGAGACTGAAATTGTTCGTGATAGGGACGATAAACGTTCCTATACTGATCTTGACAGGACTTCTTGCAAAATCGCATTTTCTAAAGTAATTTTTCAAAACAAGACAAAATTCGTTTCTTCCCTTAAGTACCTTCTTGGATTCAGAATAAAATAGAAAATTCGTAAGCTTTGTCTTTTGTTGTATTTCTCAGAGCCCTGTAGGCTGTAAATGCATAAAATCCGCAGTCTAGTCATCACACAATGTTATTGTTCAGTCTCGATTATAAAGATTTACGGGGATCGAAGAAGAAGCCAAGAACTCTCCTGCGCAGTTCCTGAAAGAATTTCTTCTATCTTAAACTTCGAACGAGTCACACACAAACAAATTCCAGCTATCTTCCATAAATCTTCGCTCTCTCAATTATCCACATATCACAAAATGATATTACTAACTTCTAAAAGTCCACAGCACAGGGATTAAAACCAGAATGACTCACAACAATCGATCAACAACACTACCATCCAAACTCTCCCCTTAAACATAAAAAATTAATAAATTTTCATTCTCTTTCTATTGCAACATCCGATCTAGTCCAATTCCCGTCGATCCAAACTCAAAATCATCCAAAACACCAGAATCTCTCGGTTTCAAATTTTCCATTCGTCCGAGCAACATCGTCTCGTAAGGATCACGAAATCTCGACGATATAGTGGCGTCACGGGAGCGTTCACGTAGAGATCAGGATTCGTCTCTTCTTGCGTTCGTTGAATACCGAATTCGCGGTACTTGGCAGTTGCCGCGACTGAAGTTTGAAAAATAAACAAGAAAGAAAGGAAAGGGAATAATTCCACTCGATCGTGATTCGGCTCGTACAGCCAGGAAAACAACGTCGTCGAAAAACAAAAGGAGGAAGAGACCCAGCGGTTGATACTTTCGCGACGTAGATGATGATCGAGACGAGTATTTACCGTATAGATCCTCGCCGGTCGAGAGGTGCGAACAGATGAACAATTGGGAGAGGATGACCAGCAGAATGTCGATGGTCATCTCGACGACCGGTAACAGGCGACCCGAGGAGGAGGAGAAGACACTGGACCTCGATAAAGTAATCCGCGTGGCGTGCAGCCCAAGACTAAACGGGATAGTTCACGCGTCGACGAAGCGATGCGGTGAATCAGAGCAGAAGGGAAAGACTGTTGCGACGAGATTCACGCCCGTAAGCTTCGATCGTCCCGAAGGATTAATTCTGGGGATCGATCGATCGATCTAACGTGAACTAGTCAGTTGGGTGACTTGTGACGGGATTGTAATTGGGTTGGGGAAAAAAGTAATCTCATATTTCTGTAGTACACTGTTGCTATAGGTATTACAAATTATGGGCAGATGTCCCAATTACTGCCACCTTAAGATTGTAGCGTAACTTCATATAATTATTTTACATGTTTTTTAACCTAACTTAATACGTTACCGTTCAACAAATACAATACAACGAATGAAAATCTTCGATGACCAATAAATTTCGGAACTACTGATACCATGTATGCTTCATACTGAAAACTTTTCAAATGATCGAGTGTTCGAAGGCCTCTTGGCACTGAACATTAAATATTTCATACACTAATGACCATATGCGGTTCAAACAAATTTCATTGGCTTGAAAATTCCAAACTTCGTTAAAAAGTTAGCGTTATACCTGGGGACCACTCATTGTCAGTGCCGAGAAGCCTTCGAACACTCATAGAGGATTTACTGTATTTACGAGTGGTAGCATAGACTTAAATAGATAAGTATACTTCCTCAAGTATAGAATTAAGTATACAGAATTATCGAAACAGTACAAGATAGTTAAAAGGTTGTTTGTGTTCCGGTTGTTTAATTGCTGAATTACGGATCGGACAAAAACGGGTTTTCTGATGGTCGAAAGAGGTTAATTTACAAATAATTTATGGAGAGACGGTCGTCACTAATGAAGTTGTGATATCTAAAAGACGGTGGTTCTATGGAGGAATCGTATATTAATTTATAATATATTACAGGCAAGCTACTTCTTGCTAATATATACTTTAAATTTCTAATCTGTTTACATCATGGGAAGGAAATGGGGAAGTGCTTTTGGTTACTGATTCACACATTTTTCGTAACATCTTCACTGCGAATTTCACACGGTCTACGGATGCGTTAGTACGGATACGTACGAGGTGATGCTACGTGTCGTTGTAAAATCCTGTGGACGTCCTCGCGTCTCAGAAACCGGATTTTAAACACGACCGCTTAGAATTTTCATTCCCTGTCCGGTCGGGTACACGATGTGTACCTCTATGAACTCGAGAAAACGTAATAAACCTCTAATGTGAGTACAAATTTGTGTCCATTTTCTTAACATTGTGTGCATACAAGTACTATGAATGGTAATTATAATAAAAAATGATATAAAGATACACATTAAACAGTAATTTATGTTACTTTAAATTGTAAACTGTATTACACTATAGATGACTAAGTTGATAACATCATTTACTCTAGTTGCAAGTTAATGAAAATCCTAACGAAGAACCAGTACCAATTTACAAACCTAAGTTTTGTAATAATTATTATTGAAAGCAAAAAGAACAGTTTCGTATATTCTTCATTGAATATACACAGTTTTTGCTACCTTCGGTAATTAGAAAAAAAACTGAGAAAATTCTTCAGTGTTGACATTATTACCGTCTACGACGTGCTAAGTATTCTCAGATTGGAAAGCGGTAGTCAATGACATACTACGACATCTTATTTATTCCTTGTACATAATTCTAATTGAATGACGATGTGTTTAATATTCATTATAATTCACAGATACTTAACAGCACGGTATTTTACAAGAAAATCAGTAATCACGTTGAATTATGGTGAATATAAGCTTAAATTATAAAATACCTTTAATCAATTGAAACGTTGAACATTGAAAGTTCGCAGATTGTGACGAGTAAAATGAAATTTTCTTTTCTTCCAAAAATGTCTGCGTATTGTTTTCTAAATTCTTGCTATTATTGTCGTTATTACAATTCCAGAAGGGGCTAATTGTTATTCAGAAAGGAATCACTGACTTATCCGAGGAATCATGTCGTCCTGAATTGTTACCAAGATCGCGAACGACTTTCATTGGTGCCGTCTTAAGGTGAAATGTCACGGCGGCTGGTAATCGACATTAATTCGGCGGTGGTCGTACTATTAATTAGAATAATTGACGCACTAATCCTGGATCGTGCAGTAGTTGATCTCGGATGAGGTTCTTGCACAATGTTAATTTAGTGACAAATTACGAGTGTCTTATAATAGATCTTGACGCAAGCCACGGACGAAATATGTTTACTGTTCCGTGGATTTCTAATCGATCGATTCCTCGCAATACCTTGCGCAAGAAAACGGATAACGGAAGTCTTTTAAATGCGTGAAGCAAGCAAACTCTGGCAACGGTTGTTCGAAACATCACTGTATCGTTTATTAAGCAAAGTCGTTTCACGTCTTAAGATCGATAAATAGAGAAGCGAAGGTTCTTCGAAAAACGAACTGGAAAATTAACTGAAAAGAAAGAAACATGGCTGTTAAACATTTTAGATACAAATTTATCATAACAACGTGACATTATTTAATTAATCATCTGATGTACTGTCAAGTCTTTGTCTGAAATTTCAAGGATTAAGACCGCTAGCCGGTTTGAGGGACCGTCGCTGCCATTTTGTCTGACAAGTGTTTCTACTTTCCTTCCACATCTGTCCCATACATCATTATGATGTTCTGAATTTTTTGAAGCGTTAGCAACCAAAACAATCTATAAATAGTAATTGGCGTACACAATGAATACGATCGATTCCAGTTCCAGAAATTTCGATATCTTTCGATACTTCCCACTGACCACTTTGAATTTTTCAAATATCGTCGATATGTACCTATCGGTTCGATCACTATCTGTAAATTGAAAATGGATCACTCCGATTCTTCGATACCACCAACGTTAACGAACTTGGCCCCAGACTTCCTGTTCGAGGACCCCACGCGACTACTCTTCCATCGATCATCGAAAGACACGTTCTCCAAGCTCTCAGATCTGTCGATTCGATAAAGTTCGACGGAGTGTCTCTCGTCATGTACCAAAAATTTCTAGCAGTAAAAAGAAAATTGTGAAACCACCGTGCACAATGGCAAGTCGGGTCACTGCTGGATGACCATGAACGATAAGTATTTATTTCTGTAACAAAAGTCCCCCGTTGAAGTTGATTCTGCCGTGTTCTTCCCGCTGAATCTCCTTCAGTGGTAACAGAAAAATGGATTCTAACCGGTCAGCGGTGCTCAACTGTTGTTTTTCATGGAATTTTATACATATAGTAAATCCTCAATGAGTATTTTGGACGATGTAACGTTGGAATTCTAAAGTCTCAGGGCCCCCCCCATAAAAATAGAATATCGACGTTCGTCCCTGCGCGACATTGGCCTGAATACTTTCTTCAAAATGCACCCGAATATAAATAAGTTCGTCAAGATACACTGGAAAGCATCTTAAAAAAACATCTGGAAAGCATCTTAACCTTAACCCCTTGTCGTATAATATCTCTTGGCAATATTATATTCTTCTGACCTTAAATTCTAATTAAGGAAGAAAAAGATCTAGCGCTTCAATAACTCTTCAATGTTGTAATTATTTTTCGAAACCAATGTCTACGCTTTCTTTAATTAATCCCAAAATGCTACCAAACATAAATTTTTCATTGACATGGAATAATTACAAGAATTCATAAAAAAACATGGTGACTTTATAGAAATTTCGGCCAGTCTATTTTCTTACAACAGTTGGATCCACATAGAAAAATTATCCGCCAAAAATTACGGGACCAGGTCTGATGATTAACCCTAGTGTCCATAACCGAAAAGTTCCACACTGTTTTATGATCTGGGGTACCCAGGTACCAGCTCACTAATGACCACTATTTACAACCCTCTAACCGATTTTCACTTTCTTTGTCTATTTGAGCCAACTGCATGTTGTATTCTTTGAACTGAAAACAAGAATTTAGTGACATAGGTAGTTGCCGAAAGCGTTAATTTTTGGTTCAGTTTTGTACGAAACCTCGAGGGAAACGGACGTGCTTGAGTGTCTCTACATAAGTTGAATATTATATTTCTTTTGTGCGTTGCTATATTTACTGTGGTTTCGAGTATCTCACATTGATAAATATTAAAGTAGGTTTCTTATTATGTATAAGTTTAGTGCGAAAGAAAGACAGAATTATCAGAGGTAAAATTTTCGAGGTATGTAATTATAAAATACACCACATACAGGATAGGACCGAATAACATACACAAGCGGTCACGAGGTGATTTCTCGCGAGAAAATAAGAAAATAATTTGAAAAAGGGGAACAAGCCCTGAGATTATTGAAAGGTCTCCACTTCCGGGGAAGAAACGTCCAAGCTTATGTCAAAATATTATACAATGTTGAGAAATTGAGGTTAATATATCTTTTAAATTAATTATTTCTCCGCCCAAGTACCTAACACTTTTCTGTAGAAAATTAAAAAATCCATTAAACGGTAATCCATTAAAGTAGAGGTGACCTTGAAATCTCTGAAACTCCTTCAGCTTCAGGGAAGCCACTGCACCAGCCGATGCATCACTCGAAACTATTTAATTTTTCCTTTTTAATCTTTTATCGTATTAACGCTATGGCTTGCTCCATTTTCCTGGGAACACCCTGTATACACATTCGCCTGTCGGTAGCACTTTGCATACACCGCAAAACATTTTCAGTTCAGATCAAACGAGCGGGAATCGCGAAAGAAGCAGAGGAACAGGTAGCGCGTGGGTGGGAGGGATGTTAACCAGAAAAAGAAACGTTGAAAAAATATAACAGTGACAGAGCAATACAGAAGAGATACAGAGAGAGGGAGAGGCAGAGAGAGAGAGAGAGCCATTTTATACGCGTTCGCATTCAGTCTGACCGTAGCGGTCGTGCCAGTAGTGTTCCGTCTCTCCTTTGAACTTTTTATCGTATTCTTTTCCGATTCGAACGATCTTTGAAACCGATTCAAACGATCTTTTAAACCGATTCGAACGATCTTTGAAACCGATTCGAATGATCATTTAAACCTATTCGAACGATCTTTTAAACCGATCGACACAAGAAAACACAAGCGTTCTTCACACACAAAACGATTCTCCGATGTAAACGATATGTGCTTCGCTCTTATTATTACACGACAGACGTCCTTCGTGAATGATCGATGTCGATAGGTAAGGGGAATCCATATTTTTCAATGACACTCGTGAAAGAAACTTCCAACGGGGCCGCCGAACGTGAGTCAGATTCCGTTCGAAACGCGGAATTCCCGCGGTATTCCGCGCGCAGCGCGAGTGAAAGTTGATCGATACGATTTTTGCCGTTTTCGGACGCTCCGTTATGGAACACGATCTTGGCCGTAGAAACTGGTGCATTGACAGCTTCATCGAAGACTTCGTAGGGGCCGTGAAATCTTAGAAAAATTTAATATTGTTTCGGTTAACTGGATTTCTTTCTTTCCCGCGCTTAGAGGTGTGCGTGCATGCGCGCATCTGCGATCGATTTCGCTCGGGTCGTTCGAGTCCGTCGAAGGTGGCCTGGATTTATCGTGAAAAATGTAAACACGACGGCGGAGACGAGTTTGTGACGAGGATCATTTGGATAGTACAGAGAAGAATGTGATATCTGATACAGATGTCTTTTGCTTGGAATTGATAATTACTTGTAACGTTACTACGAAGTTAGGAATCGTGTGTGTTGGCGTGTAGTTTGATGAAAAGGTAAATTCTTGCAGTATACAGGGTGAGTCACCTAAGATTTTCACCTGAAATATCTCCGTTGTTTTTAATGATAAATGTTTGCTTTAGTGGGACATTTATTGTTATGCAGAAGTTTTTTTTTCTCAAGGTCAGATTTTCCGATATTTCAAGGTCATCGTCGTTTTTTTCAATGGGATCACGTGTTCTGATTGGTGTGATGTTATATCTAATGAAAAGACATGCTACACGTAGTCTAGTAGGCTTCCATTGATGTAAAAACTGAAACATTGTTGAAAGATATCTCTTGGATACCACGTGTCACACTTCCGATAAATATTATAAACAAGTAATTATATCAGTTATGAAATACGGACTTCTTGTCTTTATGTGTATTGTACAGAATGCATAATTCATCGGTTCGTTCTGTTTTATCTCAAATTTATGCGCCACTCTGCCATCGACTTGTTTATTAAAAGAAATTCTGGAAAAAATATTCACAGGTAAACTTTTCAGTTAACCCCTGTGTAACACGGTGATTGGGTTCTGAGAAAATTGCCGTGTTATGCAAATTCGTACTAATACGAGGGAATGAATTAGTTTACAGGCTAAAACTAACAAAACCACACGATTCTACACAATTCTTTAACCGTGGTAGAGTGAAAGCTTGTTATGGGAATACCGTGTTATTTAGGGGTTTTCCCAATTCTTTAACCGTGGGGGGTAACACCTTATGGGAATGCCGTGTGAACAATTGTCATTTTTTAGGAATTTTCTTTTCAGTGAACGAAATGTTCAACATAAATGAAGCGTTGTGTATTTATTAATACACTTATTGGGAGTATCAAAAATTTTTCTTGAAACTTTTAATAGTTTCTCTTATATGTCCATATATCGCACTGAAATGAATTTTAAACGTCCGCCACTTTGTTTATTTTTTAGCGGTCAAATAATTTTGGTATGAACGATAACGACACTCATATTGATTAAAAATCAGTTCGAATTTTTTTATTCCGATGCTTCTTTCAACATAACTTTTTAAAAAGCACTCACTTCAATGCGATATACATAAACAAAAAAATATTCAATGTTCAAAAAATTGAATTCCATAAAATAAATAAAGTAAAACAAAATGAAGTTCCATTGTTTATACTCTCAATAAGTGTATTAATAAATAGACAATACTTCATTTATATTGGACATTTAGTTCACTGAAAAAAAATTACCAAATAATAACAATTTTTCAGGGCTTCACAGTGGCAATATCTCTCAATCCGCGGGAAGGAATGCACAATTCGAAGTAATAATCAATTAAGACATACCGATCCGCGGACGACCGTCCACGTTTCCGTCTTAATGAATTAACGCGACGCTTAAGAACAGATGCGGACAGGCTTTTAATGCCCTGCAGAACGTTTACGGTCCCGTGGACAAGGACAAGCCAATTTATCAGCTTCAATGATATGATCACAGCGCTAAATCGAGTACATCGTTGGCTCTAATTAATCGACCGGTGTAATGTATGCAGGATTGTTTACCGTGAAAAAACGCAGGGTTAAAAATTCGGTGCGATTGATCGATTAGCCCTTTTGTCCCCACTGTAGCCATGTGGCCAGATATTTTAAATTACGTAAACGAAATATTAGTATCATTTATTTTTTCATATCTGTCAGTATATAATAGTTCCTTTTCAAGAAAAATGCAAAAGGAAATATTTTTTTGTAACTGTTAAATAATTCAGGAACGAAAGGGTCAAAGGGTTCCCGAGGTTCGTTTAGCGAAACAGTGTCGTTCCCGCGACCAGTGGTACCGTCGACTGTTCTATTATTACGTAATAATCTCTTTAACGCTAAACCGACCGCGTTAAACATTCGTGGGTGGTTCGTGAACTTGCACTCTCTGTTCTCGATTCGCCGTTGACCCGGTTTTTCAATCGACATCGGGTCTTCTATAGAATTCGCGTTAATTTTACATGTTCCACGATGGATGACCGAAATATTTGCGCACAAGAAAGTTCGTAGATTCTTCGATCATGTCGGTGGCATTTTTTAACTTTATCTTTAGTCATAATTTTGCTAGTGATAACAGCTATCAGTCATGTAAATGCAACCAAATTGTAAATATTGATGAACGAACACTCCAAATGCATCAACTTAATATATGTTGCAATTTGAATACTTAAAAGTTTTCTACATAAGTACTGGGAAGCATTATTCTATATTTATTGTTAATAAGTCACCGGCAATGGTCGTTGACTATGAAAGACTACATACTTACTTGACCCGTAAGAATTTCGAGTCTAATCATCCCCTATATTTTTATTCTATCTTCACCAAAGACCCAAGATCCGTATGAATGTTTCTTTTTTTCTCAATTCGATTAGATACAAATCGAAAGAAATATCGTGGTGAGAGGTAATCGATAACGATCGCGGGTCATCAAATGGCCGAGTCCGCTGTCCCAAAGACAGATCGTCAAGTGCTTCAATCGTCGAAACACCTGTCCAACGAGCACCAAGAACACCTGCAGCTGGACTGTTTGGATCACAACGACTCCAATTTCCTGAAAGTTCCCAAACGAAAACTGTCAGTGTTTTATCGATCGTTCGACGTGATCGAGGCGAAAAGTCAAGAAGACACGCTCGAGTTTCGGCGCACCTCCAGTAGTCCCTCGGTCCGTTTGAACGAACCACAAGACGAGGAAACAAGAGGCAAAGAAGTCTATTGTGAGACAAGTTCGTGCAGAAAAGGTTTCGTGAACAATTGTAGATCGTTGATCGAGAGTGGCAAATTCCTCGGCGGCTCCACGACCGATCAACAAGACCAAAGATCGAGCGGTCTTCGATGTTCGCAAACGCGAAGCTCCTCTCCGATGACAGGGAAGCTGCCGCTGGTCAGGGATGACAAGATCGTTGACAATTGCGCCACGATCGAGAAACAGTGTAAATTGAACAGTAACGGAATCGACGTATCCAAAGTAAGCCCCAGAAAAGTCCAGTAAAGCCCAGTAACGTCCACGTGGAAAATAATGAACTCTTAACCCTTCTATAGGTAACTAAAATAGTCACGGTTATTGAGCAATCGGAATACTTCTATTCTGACAGATTAGATAAACATAGATAATTTTACTTTCATAGTTTTCCGGAACTATTGGCTTTCCCTTCCAATAATATACCAAGTGCTGTTTTAAACAAGAACATAAAAAATTGTGAAAGGAAATTTAGAAATGGGTACCCGGTTGCCTACACAAGGGTTAAGGGGGTATTCCCCCCCTTAATAAGGGGGTATTAATGGCTGCTATTTTGTTAAAAGAAATTTGTTCTGCTTCGTAGTACTTCACAAGATAGCCACTTGATATTAATAACTTTGTTAATATAAGAGATACCTAAATGCACAAAAATTTTAGACAAACATACACGAAAAATTTTCTCGATCCATTAATTCTTTGTTCTAAAAATTGCTCAGAAATGACGCTTCCAAGTCGGAATACCCTTTAACGACCGTTGCTGTCCTCTCGGAAGAGTATTTAGGTTCGGACTTTATTTTCACGGTAAACGAAATTCTCGCGGCGGTAAATCAAATCACCAGCCTTGAAACGTCGCTGTCGATTCGCTGCGATAATATTTTCACTGGGAATACCGCTGTGAGCGCGATGAAATTTTACGGGGGTGCGCAAGTTATTAAAATCTGCGCGATCTTCGAATGGTCCTGGTTTTCTGGAAAAACATGAAAAACAACTACTAGAAGAATCCTTTCGATACAGTTAATTTGTGGTTTGGATAGCCTTTGACGTGATGAACTGGAAACGGTAATCGAAAATTGTAATGGTTGAAAATTTAGATCAGACATTCGAGCAACAGCTGTGCTGGAGAGTAAAGTAAATTTTTCACAAACAATAAATTATCGATTGACAAATAAACATCGTTCTTTTAACACTGAAACTATGAAAACCCGTCATAATGGCAGATTGCAGATTTATTCTTTACTGAAAGTGTAATAGTACTCTTGGCGCGATTTATGTTGAATTTGCATTTACTATGCATTTTATATTACGCTAGATTTTGTTATATTAGATGTACCAATAAATAATTCACTATATTTTGCAACCTATACATTTATTTTCATAAAATTAAAAGGCTTTGTTGCTGCAATAATACCCACCCTTGTTCTCCAACATGTTCAAGCAATTTTAAAATGGGAAAGATTGAGAAAAGGTTTCGAATATAATCTTTTTTACCACTTTATTATTATTAATACAAAACGGTAGATTACTTATTGGTACAACAATTTAATTTAGTATACGGGCGACGATTTACCAAATACAATGATACTTATTACTAAAAACGTTCACATTGGACATTAATATCTTATACAAACATTCGAATCTAGCGATCTGTATACTTCTAGATCCCCCGAAAAACTACAATCGATCTTGCCCGCGAAGGGACGGTCTAAAATAAGTCTCGAACGACAGTTAAAAATAATGTTCACGCCCATAAACGATTCTTATTTTCGATCAGGGCGTCGATGAAAATATCGTCGACGACGCTACGTCAAGGTCGTCCTTGGAGGGCGGCCATTCCGAACGGGACGGGCTTGAGCTGACTTCCAGATCAGAGGAGGATCATGGGACAACGGTGGATCGTGGATCTAGCCAGGATCGGCGAGACGTGGCGTCGAACGGCGGTAAATTTTCGAGAATTCGACAAAACTAAAAATATGATTATTGTATATTTGTCGGTTGGCCCCGTGCTCTCTCACTCTCGTTTCGCAGATCTGGTTAAGATCAAAGATCCAGCGTATCGCGGAGCGTTCGTGAACGCGTCGTCGTCCAGTGTCGGTGGTGAGAGGCTAGCAGCAGTCGGCGCCGAAATGTCGAGTCACGAGGACAGCTCGATCGAGTCTGACTGCGAGGAGGAACCGATCGTGGCGAGAAGTCGCGCGGGAAACGGCGAGGCAACGATCGAAGGAACGAAAAAGGGGGATTCACCGCGAGCCCCGTCGCCTCTCACGAACGGGGATGCCCCGGGAGAACCGGATCCGAGTGGGAAGATCGACGGCGAGAAAACGGAAGACTGTGTCCAGTCGACGCCAGAGAAGCGACAAGTTGGTAATCGTTATACGCTGTTGTTTGTTCGTTGTCGAACGGTGACAAAACCAATATGGCCGCCGCGGAAGTGTTTGCGGGTTTGTGAACAGACCGCGGATGTTTACGCGCGAGAGATCGAAGTTTATGGGTGAGTTTTGAGGAAACCGGAACCGAAACAAACATTTATTTCACCTGTTACCGACTCCTGTCGAGCTTCAAGGGAAGTAGAAACCGTGTTACAGTTAACTTTTTACTGTGTTGAATTTCAAACATGGCATGTTTGCAGTCTGGTCGTAATTAACTTCCGGTTCTCGTTTTTTCACACTTTAACGCCCAGATCATTAAAACCTTATTTCAAAATTATGAGACTGATACATATACTAAATGTTGTATTTTGTTATTTTCAAGTCAAAAATATCTTTGTGTGTGAAATGTGTTTTTTTTTTCTTTAGCGTGTAATATCAATTAAGTTACGTTCTTTATTTTTGTAAAGATAGACTCGTCCTTAGTTAATACTGTCCACTAATACGAAACTCCAACAATTTTTATTTGAGTCACTTTTATCGTCCGAGTGTGATACGACGTTTAGAATGTCTGGTGATGTTGAAGGTCAGGATCAGGCTTGGGTTAGGTCTGCGTTACAAATACAGAGACATTTACCATTTTCTTCATTTTAAATTATTCTAAGATCAAAATCCTTCCGAATTTTTACACTATAATATATAATAGTAAAGGGAGCAACAGTGTTATGTTATCTGAAAAAAATAACAATATTCTCGAAAACATTTTTAATTTAAAGGAATCATACTTGATACTAGAATTCTTGAGCTAAATATTCGATATTACCAGAATCAATTTCAAACTGCATTCCATTTCGAGGCATTGAAATCTCCAACAAAAAGGATCATATTCGAAGCTTAAACTGAGTATAAATCATTAAATTTAATTACACTGGAAGATTGAACTATAATTAGTCAATTTTTGCAAGATTTTATTTGATTTTAAGGGTCTAGAAGTGTTCATACATTTACAGTAAATACATGAAATCCCTCAAGGCACTCGTTTTAATCATACAAAGTACGTCTATGCCTACTATAAAATACACAATCGGTCCAAAGTATAGGACCTAGTCTGACAATAAAACAATGAAAAAAATATTATTCTACAAATATTTGATAATGTGCTAAAACTAATTGAAAATGATTGGTATATTTATTGAGTCTAACTTTTATTATATCGTAACAGAATAATCAGCCACTGTTCCATCAATTATGAACTCAGGTCACATACTTTTGGCCGATATTGTATATCCATAATCTATTCGAACCTCCTTTCCTCCATCAAAAATTGTTTATTATTCATCGCAATATTATCCACTGCTAAAAACAAAATCGGCCAATTTATAATAATATACCCAGCAGCCCAATATATTTTGCGACGCAGACCTTCGCGCCAGACACTCTAAATATTATACTGAATCATTACCGGTGCCACATGGACACACTGCATCCGGCGATCTATTCCTCCGTTCGGTAGGAAAAATAATATTTGCTCTGCATACGGTGCAGGATATATCACCGGAAAACTCGAAATCAACCCACGGGCTGACTGAACTCTCTTCCGAGCCCGATCGCGTAATACGATATTTATAGGCGGAATCGTTGAAAACTTGCATAACTTTAAGAATTAAGTCGGACCGTTCTTAACCCTTTTATTCCCACGGTTGCCATACGGCTACGTATTCTAAATAAACGAAATAAAATATTAATATCATTTATTTTGATTCCTTATGAAAAAATAATAACAAAATATGCAATAACATTTTTTCATGTAAGGCTTAATTTTTGAGAACATCGACTTTGAAAATTTACTAGATACGGAGGCAATTGAATAGGACTGGGCCAGCGCGTCTGTCCATTGCATTCTGTTTCTACTTATTACTATGGTGAATACACGTGCTTCAGATTAGTTTTCGAAGTGGATTTTCACGAGAACTAAGCCTTAAATGAACAAATTTTATTGTATATTTTGTTCTTATTTTTTCATAAGGAATCACTTCGTAATGCTTGTACAGGTTTTCTTTTGACCCCAATAAGATACGGAAAGGGAGAAAGAAATTCCTGCTATTGTTTTTGTCTTTACGAACAACCTTCTACAATGTGCTTTTGCATAAAAATCCGCAGTCTAATTATCACCCTGTATATAACTGTGATAAAGGTAAAACAGTTGTCAAATGGCAACGAATGAATAATGGCACTAAACGCTTTCAAAATGTTAAAATGTTTTTGTGAATCATTTATATTCATGTAATGTTGACATAGATTCAAAAAGAAATATTTTTTGTAATTTTCTAAATAATTGGGGAATACAAGGGTTAAAACGTGCTTCAAATTTTATACGAACGCAGAGGTACTTCGCCACAAAGCGATCCCTGTCCGATGGCGACTCGAAACGGTACCACCGTGCAAGACGCCATTGTGGTTGCAGCAAACAGGAGCAGTCGACGGATGAACCAGAACAATTTCAGGCTTTTCCAAGCTTCACGGACAGTCGACTAAAGAGTATAGGATTGTCGCATTCGGAGGAAACGAGTAATTTGTACAGGTACGCGAGAAATGATCGACTTTTGGAAACTTGAACACCTGCTTCCGGAAATGGATCTATTGGATCGATTGGCAGCGTAGTATTTCCTTCGTTCGTGACAAAAATATACATAATTCAATCAACAAAGTTTCATTTAACAGATTTTCATTTATTCCGTAGTTTGAACTATTTGAAACGTGTGTTTGAACATTTCCGAATGTTAATAATTTATAAATAAATTATGAAGCTGTAAGAATTGCCAATGACAAGTATTTTGAATTTAATTAGATAAGCTGCGTTTGTAAAAAGTAAATCAATTTTTGTATTTGGACGACTTCATTGAAAGTTGATTAAACGATTTCATTTGTGTTTCAGTGAAAACTTTGTTTCGCCGGAAAACGATCTTGAGGTATGAAAACGATCATAAATGTATCAGTTGAATGAAAATTTCCATGTTTTTTTTTTTGACACACTTCCGTTTCATTACAGCGTAAATATATCGCGTTCTCCATAGGACTCGGTACCGACAGGATCACTTTGCAGCGACGAATGATGTGGTCGCTGAGACAACGAGATCTAGCTGAGAAAAATTTTAAACATGAAATTGAGGATTTAGAAGAAGAGATAAAGGTCCGTTTATTTCATAAGAAAAACGTTTTCAAACTTTTGAATAAAGATCGTAAACCAAACTTAGCAAATTGAAATATAATTAAAAAAAATTTTTATATTCTCGTTTTATATAAATTACCAAATTTTTCTGAATAGTATTTTTTTTTCAAGAAAATTATATTAGCTTGATATTTACCATTCTTCTCTGGCACGAGACGCCATCTTTACGAAGCAAAGATATTTGAAAGACATTTTGAATTCCGTACGTATTGTCGTTTTTGTCCCCCCACTAAGTGGGTAACATTATTTCGTTATAATAACAGAAACTACCGCGTTGTTCGTGGTGTACGGACGGTGAGTCGTGGCAGGAGTCCACGTAGCCGACACATACGTTCAGAAATTGCGTTCCAAGTGTGAAAATTTGTCTAGGGACATTGCTGAAATCAAGTAAGCGTTTATTGTACAACAAATGAATTTGTTACCTTCTCACATATAAAAAGAACTTTTGAAATACCTTTTTGTGAAACCCCAGTTTTTAACTTATCGCTAAAAGGTATGAAGAACTGAACAAATTGCTAGCTTCATAGATTTAACTTTTGGTACTTCAATTTTTGAAGAGATATTATAATGCTGTCGAAAAATTGGAATTATTTAAGACAGCACGAAATGTGTTAAGAAATCACGATCCGTTATTTCTAGATTCGATGAAGATTGTCTTGATAAGAATGTAGGATTTTTTATTTCCAGGCGTATATTATTAAAGCACAACATAGTGATCGAAGAAGGCACAGAAGAGATTTACGACGTACCTCTTCAGCCGTCGCGATACAGAAACGGATTGCCCTCGAATAATCGAACGCTGGTTCGTTCGAAAACAAAGATAATAATTTTTGGTGTTGGAGAATCTTTTTCATGAAATGCTTGAAAGTGTTGTATATTTAAAGAAAATGTTAATGTTTCTTTTGGTCAAGAACACCGATTTAGAGAAAAATTATTTTCAATTTTTTGGAATCGTATTCTGAGCAGCACGATTGATCTTATACAATTGATTAATTAATGATTGATTTTCTCTATAGATGGCTAGAAGAAGAGCGAGCATAGCGACAATCTCACGGCCCTTGACATCGCAAGATATACTGAAGGTAAGATCCATTATACAGACTCCTTTCGATTATCGTCTGGCTTGTTCTACACGATTATTGTCCAGGCGTTATCCCCATCACTGGGACGTGGAACTTGTCAAGCATATACTTTGTTGTCCCTCTGCTTTTGTTGCCGAGGTTCAGGATTCGGGCAAGAAACAAATTTACGAGGGTCTGAAGCATTTCTCCCTATAAGATTATTGTCCCGGAGCGGACCCGGGTTCGAGACAATAATCGATAGGAAGCTGTATTAGTTTTCTAAAACAGTAAAATCAGATATTAAATAATTAATTGTATGTTATAGTAAACAATTTGTAACAGAAATTCTAACAATTTTGAAAGTATCATATTCTTTATTGAAGAGAATACAAAACACGTCGTATTCCATGTGTTTAGGAAAGTCCCAGGCAACGTAATTCTGTTTCTGGTAGAGTTACTATAAGGAGGCCATCTTTGTGCACCGAGGTGAGATGGGAAAGTGAAAAACTAAACCGAACAGAGTGCGTATGAATTTCTCATATGATTTGGATTGCATAGGAAAAAAAAGAGGAGTAAAACATTTGTTAAATATTTGTATACACTGATCTTTATATTTCAGCAGTTCTGAAAGCGTCGGTGAATTACGCGATATTTCAGAACAGACTGAATGGAGGAGGGACTCTCATGAAGAGAATAATAATCTCCCGAGGCACGGTCAAGCCAGTGATATTGATGCGAATCGTGACGATGCCGATAATGTAAAGGATAATGATCGGTCATCATCGTCGTTGTCATCTTTTTTAGAACCTAGAACCGCCGAGAAACAATTACTACCATGGTAATTATTCGCCTGAATTATAATAAAAATACCATATAGAACGTGAAACGTTTAACCCTTGTGTAGGCAACCGGGTACCCAGGTACCCATATCTAAATTTCCTGTCACAATTTTTTATGTTGTCTAAAACAACACTTGGTATATTATTGGAAGGAAAAATTAACAGTTTCGGAAAAGTATGAAAGTAAAATTATGTATGTTTATCTAATCTGTCAGAATAGAAGTATTCCGATTGCTCAATAACTGTGAATATTTTGGTTGGCTACACAAGGGTTACGAAGTACTTAACGTTTGTTACGTTTTGTTTTTTTTTTGCAGTATACGAACAGTCGAACCCTTACGAATACCTAGAAATTTTCAAACATTACGGCCGATATTGTGGTACATATTAATCTTTTTACTTGGATTTTATGCTCATTATGTAACTTCGTCTGTTGATACAAGCGTAGCAAATCTATCATAATTAATCTATCATCGAGAAATTAATTCATCTTGTTACGACGTTACAGTATTAGGAACGTACGGTGACTGTACAGATTGACTCACAAGGGGAAATAATAAAAGACCTAACGTACAAATATATCGCATTTAATGGTGTTTTTTTTTCTGTTTTAATTTAATATATTACAAATTGTCCACCGTTCCGATACACACGAGCGAATTGTTTTTATTGTAATAACGCAAGGAAAGTATACTCGAGCAATATGTTGAGTATATTTGTGGTGGTTCCATTTCAGGTACTACATTTGACGAATTACTGAAAAAATGTATAAACGTTTGAATATAATGTCACGGTATGATAACTGTATATATATTTTTCTCACCGCAAAATTACAAGTTACCTATTGAGAGTTTTAATGTGATCGTGAGTAGGCCACAAACGAATAGTGCCATCCAAACTTCCACTGGCAATGTACTGACCATCGAAACTCCAATCTAAATTCATAACTGTGTCTTCGTGACCTTTCAGTTCAGTTAACAACGCGTTAGTCGCTAAGTCCCAAACGGAGATGGACTTGTCATCACCTAAAGGAACGTTTTAATTAAATCATTATTAGATAGCGTAATAAAATTATACCAGTCGCATTACTTAATAAAATATTAAAATATTTTACCAGCAGCTGCCAAATACTTTCCATCTGGACTAAAAGCTAAACTATAAATCGTTGACTGCGCTCCAATATATACCCTCAATAAATTTCCATCATCTTTATCCCATAACCTTACAGTCTTATCAGCGGACCCAGTTGCTAAGTATCGAGCGTTTGGGTGAAATTTTACACACTATAAAAAACGAAGCACACGATATGATTTAATTTGTGCACATAAAAAGAAGTTTGTTTATTTCTGTTCAGGGTGTACATACATTTATATCTAAGAAGTGACCAGCGAATATGCGCAATGGAAATATTCTATCTAACGACCACAATTTAGCGGTTCTGTCGTGAGAACCAGTCGCTACATATAAATTGAATACACTAAGGTCCATACACCATATAGGGTAACTATGACCACTGCAACAAATATAAAATCATAATACCTTACTGTATTAAAAATATCATAGAATAAATTGTGTATTAAAAGTACATATACAGGGTGCGGCCGAAGAACGTGTACAAGCGGGTACGAGGTGACTTCTTATGAAAAAAATAAGAACAAAATATGAAATAAAATTTTTTCATTTAAGGATTAGTTTTCGAGAAACTCGACTTTGAAAATCTGCTAGATACGGGGGCAAGTGAATAGGACTAGGCTATAGCGCGATTGTCCATTGCATTCCGCTACTACTTACTAATGCTGAATACACGTGTTTTAGATTCATTTTCGAAGTCAATTTTCTCGAAAAAGAAGCCTTACATGACAAAATTTTATTCCATATTTTGTTCTTATTTTTCCATACGGAAGCACCTCATACCCGCTTTTACATGTTATTCGGCCGCACTTTGTATATGTAGACATGCACGTACGTAGGTACGTACCTATAAATTGCGGCGCACGTATAATCATTAAGTCTCCATGCCCTCATGTCTTTATCACTAGATACAGAAAGTAAAATTTCTGATTCTGGAATAAACCTTAGATCATGTACAATATCCGTATGTCCTCTAAGTATCACTGCCCCTCCTTCAGTCCTTAACATGAAGTACACAAGTTTATACAGGGTGATTCTCCCGCTGAACAAATCAAAGACAATACCGCTCTAAAGAACCGCTGCGTCGGCACGTGTAATCTGTCGATCGGTCTTCACTGTTGATTGACGATTCTTTAGAGTGGTACATACTTTTTGATTTACACAGCGAGAGAATCACCCTGTAGCTTTCTGTTGATTTACTAAAATCCTTTCGATGAAGTAAATAATTCAAGGTACTTACGTTCTGTCGGTAGTTTCATAAAATTTGTCTAAAAATGGGTTATCAGAGGCGAACGAAAAGGAGGGTTCCTCGTGCTTTGGTTTAATTAATACTGTTTCATTTATACCCCATAGCCTAATCTCTGTAGTGCTAAATCCTACTGCTAATTTGTCCATATTTGGCGGAATTACACCACTACTCGCACTGAAAAAATAAATTATACATATATAATTCTTGTCATTTAACAATTGTGTAGTAAGGGAAAGTTAATGCCTGCATAAACATAATCTATAATTATATTCATATGGAATTACTTTTCAATGGCATTATTCACTGCGAATATTCGTAAAGGTTGATGTGCATTATTTCGGATTAATCTTATTGCTTCTTGTAATTCTCTCATTTCACGATCAGCTCCAGTACCTGATGGCTGTTCTACATATCCATTTATTCCTACTTCAGATCTTGAACCTGACTCTTCACATCCTTCGATATCTGTTTCAGGCACATCCATTTTTTTAATTATTGTCAGGTGTGTATTTATTATCTGAACAATAACATTAAAATTATATCACTCTGTGTTATTCAAGTTACATATTACCTAATGTTTTATTCCCATCATATTACCTGCATTAGTGTAATGTGTCCTTGCTTTGAAAGAAATTGCTGAAGACACAGGTGAGCAATATCAGACATATCCACTTTATATTTTCTAGTTCTAAACGAATTTACTAATGGTCTCAGTTCGATATCCTGCACTGAAAATACACTGGATAGCTCTTCCAAAAAATCTTTCTCAGTTTCACTATTAAAATCGTTTTGGTGTGCTTTTAAAAAGTGAATTGCTGCTTGTCTGTTACCAGCATGTAACATCTCTAAATACAAGTGACAAAATACAGGGTATAGAAGCCCTTTTAATTCCATTTTCAATTTATCAACGAGTGCTATGTTTACCCACATCTTTAATCTAAAAAAGAATAATATAAATATAATATTAAAAGAAGGAACAAGCAAATCTCTTTCTGGACAGTTTGACTTGCGAAATTACATATTAAAATAACACCAAAGGAAACTTAAATGAAAAATGGATGTACCGTTGATACGCTTGATCTGCAGCAGCTACATCAATGCTAATAGCACTGAAAATGATGGAGTTGTCTTGAGAGGTAGCAGATGCAGCAGCTGCATTCAGAGTCATTTCATCACTGGTGCGACAATGTATTTGATTAGTTTTACAAAAAACCTCGCTAGTCTGCAATGTTTGAAAATGACACGAGGTTATATTATGTTTACCAATTGTATTTCAATATTAAAGAAAATTCTTGAAATAAAAATAAGAACGTAGCCTGCCTGATAATGACGTCGTTTCAAATATGATTCAATTGTCGCATTAATTAATTCACTCTTTAATCGTTTCATCTTTTAGGAATTACACGTTGGTTACATTCAAAAGTTTTGAATGACTCGACCATAAGAAACGTGTCGAGTGACAAAAATCATTAGAAGTACGCTGTTTTACTAACTATTTAACGCATGAATGGAACATTAACATTGCTAATACTTCGTCAAAAACTAATAAAAATGATAACGGGTTTGAATCTCGAATTATATGGTGTATGTTTTTATCAACAAAGTAAACCGTGATCAATAAAGTTTCCACCGGCAATATTCCGCATACTGTTCTCATCACTTATTTTTTCAAAGATTCTTTATTTCTCATGATTTTATTTGCAACACGTAAATCTATAAACAAATAGTTGCCGCTCGTCAATCATTGCAAAAATATAGAGACAAAAATACACCCTTCCCCTAGAAAAGGACTTGTAACCCCTGAATAACTAGACGCATAACGTATGTTTAAATTATCAGAGAGGAAATGAGAGTGCTCGCACCCGGAAAATCCTTGTTCCCGGGCAAGTGCTGCACCAAGCGATCAATTCTGTCATAATAGTAGGAATCTACTCGTTTTTGTAGTCGTTTGTGTAGTATTTCTATAAATTTAACAACCATTGCCTTAAGTACCCCTTACATAGATGATTTTACAATATATTTATAATAATATTTGTATAGATTCAATAAAAGTACCCTTAGATACTTATTTTACTTAAATCCTACTTATCTATATGATTTTACAATATACTTGTAATGATATTTATATAAATTCAGAAAAAGTAGGCTTATATATTATTCAGGCTTATAAAATATTGTAACTTATATGCCGCAAATAATTCCCTCTTCTGTAACTTGCAAATCTTCCGTAGGATCTTTAAAGCTTCATAAAGGTTTCATAAGTTTGTCGCCGAAATTTTGATTACCGGTGGCATACGATAGACGTGTGTAATAATTTGCAGTAGTCCTCTGCCGGATTCAATCTGTTATTATTACATGTGGATTACGGGACAATGAACGGTAGTGAAATGGCTTGCGTCAGTACACATTTGAAACGTGATCTTTTATCGCTGTTGCTCGTACAACTCTCGAGCTCGGTCTAATGTTGCTCGTGCAACTGTCGAAATCTGACTGACACTTGTGCGTGCTTCCGTGAGCAAATTATATAGTAACCCCAGCAACTATGGCAGTTTCTGCAGATACTACTACAGCCCAAGTTTAAAAGACGTAGGCAGTAGTCAGTTTCTGTAGTAACCTATTGAACCAGACGACTATAATTAGTATAGGATTGTACAATATTTATGCGGTTATATTTAAGACAATTCCATCAAACGAAACTTAGGTATGTTAATACTGACATATCGCACCTCTGCAAGAAAAATGTCGCAAGTCGAAGGCGTAGTGGTAGACGCTTTATGGCTTTAAATGTTGATCAGTGTCTTCCTTTAATGGAATAACTGGTTGGAAAATATTTTTAATTCTATATTACACTTCAACTTGTTCGAGATGACTGATCCTTAGACTCTTTGACTAGTTAACGGGTAAAATTATTTATACCTGTATTAACGCTGACCCTTATGGAGCGGCAATCCAAATTGCAACTGGTTTCGATTGCATTTACGCCGCTGAACGGTCATCATTTTCCTTCGTCACACATTAGATTTGAAGTTTAAAGAACGTACATTAATACTTTCTAGCGGCTGGGAACCAGTAATTAGAAGAACATTGTTAAAAACACAATTGTTTGTAACGATTTCGTCATGCGTACCCCGCTTAATTCACTTTGGACAACTCTTCCAACGTTATTCTGACAGCATCCGCCTTGATCAAGCATTCAGATTGAAGCTTAAAGAACATAGATTAATCCCCTGTCATTGATAATAATAATAAACAACCAGAACATTGTTAAAATCGCTTTTAATCGCGGAGTACCACTATTTTTTTGACCGGTGGCGCCACAAGTGGCAATTCGCTGAAACTGCTAGCCAAATCATACCGATAGGTGAGTGAAAATTCCTAGTGATGGAAAAATGCGAATATCTCAGTAATTAAGCGTTCAAAATGAATGTCGTTAGTCTCAAATTGTTCCTCAGGACTTAATGCATGGACCCAATAGTGCAGAACCCCTGAATTAGTAAAATTAGTTCCGTCTGTTTTACCGTAGCCCCTTATAGGGCGGCAACCCTAATTGTACAATTGTCTATCGCATTAACACAGCTAAACGGGCATCATTCTTTTTCGTATTGCATTAGATACGACGTTTAAAGAACGTAGATTAATACTCTCTAACGGCTGGAAACCAGTAATTAAAAGAACTTTGTTAAAATCACATTTGTTTGCAACGATTGACGCTCTATCGCGTCATGCGTACCCCGGTTAGCACAATTCGAACTACTCTTCCAACGTTATGCTGACAGCTCTCGTCTTGTCCAAGCATTCAGTTTGAAGCTGAAAGAACGTAGATTGATCTCCTGACATTGAAAATGACAATAAACGAACAGAACACTGTTAAAATCGCATTTAATAGCGGAGTACCACTATTTTTTTGAACGATGGCGCCATCCCTGCCGAATCGCTGAAACTGCTAGCCAATATATGGCTAGCAGTTTCAGCGATTCACCGCGGATGGCGCCACCAGTAAAAAAAAATAGTGGTACTCCACGATTAAATTCGATTTTAACAGTATTCTGGTCGCTTATTGTTATTATCAATAACAGTGGATTAATCTACGTACTTTTAGCTACAAATTGAGTGCTTCAGCTAAACGAAAGCTGTCCGTATAACGGTGTACGAGCTATCCAAAGTGGACTAACCGGGGTACACATGACAAGATACAGTGTCAACCGTTGCAAATAAATTGTGATTTTAACAGTGTTCTGGTCGTTTATTGTTATTGCCACTCACAGGAGATTATTCTACGTTTTTTCAGCTACAAGTCGAGTGCTTGGCAAGACGAATCAGCCGTTATAAGGTACTAATCTACATTCTTTGAACTTCGAATGTAATGCATGACGAAGAAAACTGTTGCCTGTTTAGTGGTTATGTGATTGCAACAGGTTTCGATCGGATTTACACTGCTAAACCAGCATCAGTTTTCCTTGTGATGGATTACATTCGAAGTTTAAAGAACGCAGATTAGTACTCTCTGGCGGGTGGGAACCAGTAATTACAAGAACATTGTTAAAATCTCAATTGTTTGCAACGGTTGACAGTCTGTCTCGCGATGCGTACCCCGTTTGGGTTCACTTTAAATAGCTCTTCCCACGTTCTATAGACAAGATACGTCTTGATCAAGCATTCTCGGTGGCGCCATCCGTGGCGAATCGCTGAAACTGTTAGCCAATTATATGGCTAGCAGTTTCAGCGATTCGCCACGGATGGCGCCACCAGTCGAAAGAATAGTGGTATTCCGCGATTAAATGCGATTTCAACAGTGTTTTGGTCGTTTATTGTTATTATCAACAACAGTGGATTAATCTACGTACTTCCAGCTACAAATTGAGTGCTTCAGCTAAACGAAAGCTGTCCGTATAACGGTGTCGAGCTGTCCAAAGTGAACTAACTCGGGGTACGCATGACGAGATAGAGTGTCAACCGTTGCACATAAATGTGATTTTAACAATGTTGTTGTAATTTGCTGGTACCCAGCCATTGGAGAGTATTAATCTACGTTCTTTACTCGTTGTATCTAATGCAAAACGAAGAAGAATC